AACGCTCTTCGTCCAAAATGTAAAGAAAAGAATAATTGATTTGTATTCGTATCATCAATTTATATTTATATAAGTGTATGACAAAAATGAATCACAATAAGCAATTATAACTTTGTTTTACTTTTATTATTCTTTTCTTGAAAATATCTTTCCTTTTCTTTTCAATTATAGGTATAGTTAATAGACATATGTAATATTTAAAAATATTAAAAAATTTTTTTACTTAACATTTACTTTTTCAATTATTACTAATTATTACATATGGTGTGTAAAATAGGTATTACAAATAATGCATAGAATATTTTATCCTGTTAAGTAAAATAATAAACATAAAAATAGGAGAAAAATTTGGATTAAACAGAATTCTACTTATCTGCTACAATATTATAAGATTAAAAACAAAAAAAGAAATAATAAGTAGTAATAGTAAAAAATGTTTTAAAATATATTTGATATATAATTGTTGAAAATATGCAGACATTAATTCATTTCTTCTATCCACTCCCCTTAATTTAAATATGTTGCAATTTTACAAATATTCACAGTTACCCTATTGAGAACGCAATAAAATATCATACGCCACAGGATGTTAATTTGTCATATAAGAATCTGATTTATAGAAAAATAATTCATGCCGTTCATCGGAATGCATGTTCATCGGAAATATATGATGTTGGTATTTCTCCATTTACACTTATGATATTATGTATGATAGTATGTATAATAACATACACCGATTTTTTTTTAAATTTTCTACACATCTAATATCTAATAAATAAATTTGAGATGTTATTTATGTTTATGATAATATTCGAAGTGATTTCTTAAATAGAAATAATATATACAAAAACTAAACCTTTATTTTTAGTAATAAATACTGTTTGCGGGCAACAACTTTATATTGTAGATATGACAGTTTTTAATTATCTTTACTAATAGTTCAAACGATATGGAACGTTATATAGACGCAACATAGTATGGACAAGACACGTCGGAATAAAGTACATAGATATAGGTCATCGTGAGAAGCGACGAGTACGCTTGCGTGAGTTTCACCCGAGAATTTCTTTCGTAAATGCAATTCTATGAGAAAAGTACATCTGTTAAATTTCATTCGGTGTTCGATAATCGACTTTCGTTTTTTCAAGAAATGTAAAATTGCGAATGTTCCGATCTTATAGTAGTATTTCATAGCAGTGTATTGTGTCATTTTGCGATGTAGATGCGGAATTACGAAGTTTATTTAAATTATACTGAATTTTAGCGAAAAAGAAGTCTTGTAAATATTGAATAAACTGAGTAAAAAGTGGGGATGAGAAAGCCTCTACCGTCTTTCGTTCCGTCAAATGTGTTTTAGTGCCAGCAGAGACATGATCAGTATAGAAGATAGATTTTTCAGTCTCCATCGGACTCTTTTGCTGGCAATTGGTTTATGGCCTTATCAAAAATCGAAACTTGCTCAACTTCACTTTATATGCTGTTTTAGTAGTATAGTCAGTCTTATTATATTTCAGGTATGTCACAACATTTCGATTAGATTATTATGTAAAATATGAAAAAACGCGGACTGTCTAAATGTTGCGATAACTAAATATTTTGGAAAAAAATGTGAAACATAAAAATCGTAAAGTTTTAAATTATACATAATATAGTAATAGTGATAAGAAGTCCAATAATGTTATCAAAATTAAGTAAAAACCAATTTGAATTGTTTACATAAAATTTCATTTAAATAAAATTTTCTATTTCTTATTGCATATTCATGTAACTAATGTAAAATGTTTTTGAAATAATATTAATTAAACTTCTTTTTCTATGGATTTTTTAAAATATTTTTGTATTTCTTCATTATAACTCTAACACAAAAGTTCGAATATTTCATAAAGCATTCTCTTTCCTCTCAGGCTCTTTATGTGTACATCTTATTATGAATACACTGTCATACATTATTACCAAATTATTATTTACAATTATTTATTACAATTTTGTTGTACATGTAGAATAACTAGATAAATGTCACAGTTTGCTAGTAAGATTTATTGTTATTGTATCTTGTTGAATAAAAATGTCATTTGCAGCTTACAACATTTATGACTTCAAACTGTACCATAGAACTTGTTATAAACATTTTTGCTTTCGTACCTACTTGTATGACTTTTGTGGTGAAGTATATTTCATTTTGTGTTAACGCCGAAACAGTAAGTTGAACATTTGTTATATTTAAATATTATTTGTAATGCATAAACTTTTATATGATAAATTCCAAAATTATTTTTTATTTTATCAAAAATAAGTGCTTAGAAACTTAACTTAACCTGTTGAAACAACAGATAAAGTATTTGCTGGAACAACTCCAACAAATTTGGGATGATTTAAATGATAAAAACGAAATCGCTATTATCGAAAAATGCGGGGGCAACGCAAAACGTTATACATGTATATTTACAAGTAAGACAATATTTTAATCTAATAAATTTTTTTTAATTTTTGTTACGTTTTGCATTTAAAATATTTAACAAATTTAATACTTAAATATTTGTACAACATAAGACATTTTTAGTTACATGTAACAACGCACGCTTTAAGGCCTAAAGTTCAAAAATACAAGTTTATTATAAGGCATTATAGTTTATTATAATGTATGATTAAAATATTACTTGTTTATAATGTTGTATTTAGTATTGACCATCAGTGTTATGTTTGTTATTACGATCATTCAAATATGGCCGGATATTCTTCATATTATTTTGTCAGTAAACAACTCTCAACCACGACGCTTGGAAATTATGACCGAATATTTTGTTGACCAAGAAAAGTATTTCCACTTATTTTTACTGCATCAAAACGTAACTATGTTTATAGGGATAATTGTTCTATTAGCAACAGGAACAATACTTATGGCATATTTGCAATATGTTTGCGGAATGTTCCAAATTGCTAGGTAAAAAACAAGTATAAAAACAGTAAATAAATTTTAAGTTTAACCAAATACTATTTATCTACTATAAAATTTTTTTTAATTAGTAACAAAGCAACAAATAATAAATGGTAACAATAAAAAATTTAAAAATCTGTATAATATAGAACAACAATTAATAAAAAACATGTATATATTTAATTAATATATATTTAATTAAATAAATACATTTTTACTATTACGTTTTACTACAAAAAATTGAATTGATAGTGTATTTTCGAAAGGATGTCAAAATCAGTCAAAACTATAACTGTTTTTTTTAATTAATTATTTACAGTTATCGTATTAAATACGCTATGAAGTTTTATATGTCACAAGATATTAATTTGGTTTATAAAGAGATGATTCGTGCCGTAGATATTCATCGGAAAGCTATGATGTTTGTATTTTTCCATTTATATTTATATATTTATTTAAAATAACATAAACCCGTATATACAGATTTTTTTCGTTTAAAAGGTTTTCCACGTATCTAATAACCAATTTTGAGATGTCTTTTATGTTTTTGATAATACTCGGAGTGAGTAGTTTAAGCTTCAATATTTTACGGGTAAGACATATTATTTGTAATTAGACGTTTAAAGAAAATAAATGTTATTTTTAAACGTTATTTTATATTATTAAACTTATAATTGCAATGTAATGAATGTTTTAACTGACTTAACTTACCTAAGTACTTTTCTACCTCCAAAAATTTTTAATTTTATATTATCATTAAAGAATCAAAAAAATTTAATTTATAAGAATAAGTATTACTTATTACTAATAAAGCCAAACAGTATAAGTGCAAAGACATTATCTATTTTATTTGTATTTTATATTACTGATGAACAGTAAATTCTCTTTTTGTAATTCATAGTAAATTTCATTTGATAACAATTTTATTAACAATTCGAATGAAAAGTAAATCCTTATTGCGTAGCAATATATAATAGCTCAAATAACTTTTGTATATCTACAATATTAATATGTACTCTAAACTAATTATTTTTGTAAATGCAATTACTTAGAAAAAAACGATTCAAATTTAAACATTTTGATATTACTTTAATATCTGATGACTCAAAATTTCAATTCTCTGGATTCTAAATTTGCATCCTAATTTTATGAATATTCAAATTAAAATTTATCATTAAAATTATTTATTATTAAAATTTATTCTAAAAATTTTTATAAATAATATGTTACTACTATTATACACACACACACATGCGCGCGCGCATTAATTTATAGTTAAAAATTATAATACAAATTGTAAATACAAAAGTATAATACAAATCATAATATAAATTATGAACTAATTATAATACATTGAAATTTGCACATTAGTTTTTTCAGATGCTAGCAGAATTGAATTATAATATTCAGGAACTTATTGTGCCTACTGTAATATCAGGTGTTTGTATTTTATATATGTTTGTAGCCAATTTTCTGGGTCAACAAATTACGGATAACTGTCATCACGTATATACCACGGCGTAAGATACATCTTCACATTACTCAATATTATTTTACTATAATATTAAATATTGATATACTAAATCGTTATTATATTAGATATGAGATTCAGTGGTATATAGTTCCTTTATATATACAAAAACTAATATTATTTTTGTTGCAAAGAGGTAATAAAAGTTTCGGTTTGCATGTTGGTGGATTGTTTGTAGCATCTTTAGAGTGCTTTGCTACGGTACAAGACATTTTATATAATATTATATTATATTTTAATAAGACAAAAAAAAGCAAATATATTTTGTTGCAGCTAGTAAACACATCCATATCTTACTTTACCGTCGTGTATTCTACTAGATAAGGCAATAATGACGACATCAGCTATTATAGTTGTGTTAAATAAAACATATATATTTAAACACATATAATGTAAAGGCTCTATAAATTCAACAAATATAATAGAAGGGGCGTTCAGAGCCGTCGCAGGATGTTAGTGCTACATTTTTAATTTTAATTTCTTAAAGAATATTTAAGATGACACAGTGAATATTTAATATATATTTAATTTATATATGATAATATATTTTTTATTAAACATCTTATTTCCGAATAAATGAAATGTGTCATATCGAAAGTGTTCAGATTAGTTCACAAAAAAAGTTTCTATAAACATAACGTTTTTCGTTCAAGATGTAAAGAAAAGAATAATTGATTTGTATTCGCACAATCAATTTATATTTATATAAGTGTATGACAAATATACATATGTCAAAATAAGTAATTACAACTTTATTTTACTTTTATTATTCTTTTCTTAAAAATTTTTTCTTTTTTTAAATTAGATAGTTAATAAATTATAGTTAATATAGACATGTAATATGTAATAGATATTTAAAAATTTTTTTTACTTAACATTTACTTTGTCGATTATTACATTACTATTTATTACACCAATTATTATAAAAAAAATAGATTTTTCCAATACTTCAAATTTAAAAGCTTTTATAATTTAAAATATTTTAAACTTTTATCTTTTTTTAGCACAGTACTAGCTTTAGCGAATACGAATATGCAAAAAATAAAAAATAAAATTAATTTATATTTTTATAATAAGTATATAATATTTTTATAAATTGTAACACAAATAGTATATGTTTTCTGAATAGTATAAGTAATAGTTTGTAGAAAACAGATGAAATATATGTTCAATACATTTTCACTCCGAAACACGAAATGTAACTTTTAAGAATGCACATAAAAATGAATATACACCGCCGTGGGAAATAGATACCACATTTGCGTAGCTGTCACAACGTAGCTATAGGACTTCTCCCGTGAGAAAACAACAACTGCTGACTTTCTGTTAAATCGAACAGTTATTCGGCCAGAACAAAATAATTTGCACCTAGGGTAAATTACAAAAGATAACTTAAATTACAGAACGCTGAATTTTATGCCAGAAGGGAAAATTTACGAAATACATCATCAAATAAAAAAAGGAAGGGGTATGCGAAGCTTCGTTGACTTCATTCCCGTCAAACGTGTTTTAGCGCTAGAAGAGTGATGATCAATATCAAAGATAGATATTTCAGTCTCAATAGGACTCTTTTACTGATGATCGGTTTGTGGCCTTATGAAAGATCATTACTTACTCGACTTCAATTAATTTGCATCTTTAGCACACTAGCAACCGGCATTATATTTCAGGTATGTCAAAATTATTATATGTATCATACAAAATATTCTACTTCTATAAAGTCACTGCTGTGTTGACGAATTTTTCAATTAATTTTGTATCAACATTTCTTTAATAAAAGCGTCACATTATTATGTTGAAAAATGTACTTTATAATTATATTATATTCTGATAAAAAATTTTTAATTAACTTTTTATTAAAAAAAATATTTATGTGCAGCTTACAACATTTATGACTTTAAAATGTACTACACATCTCGTCCTTAAGGTTTCCCCTTTCGTATGTGCTTATATTAGCTATATAATAAAATATCACTCGTTTTGCATTAATAGAGAAATAGTAAGTTAAATATTCTATTCTATTCATTTTAACAAACTTTGAATAAAATTATATGTATCCGGACCTCATAATTTTTTTATACGTTATTAAGATATAAAATAAGATTATTTAATAAGTTTTAAGCAATTACAGAAATATTTATTTATAAAAATCTAAACACAGCTGATTTTTCTACATAATTACCATGTTTTTTCAACATATTTCTTTTTAACAGTGCACTTTTTCAATTTTACAAAAAAATCTTCTGATTAGAAAATTATTCAGTTATGCAATGATGCAGTAAGCTTATCATTATTAGAAAAACATCTTATCGTCTCCTTTAACTGTGTGGATTTGGCGTTATCAAATTATTATGCATTTGAGTCATAAAAAAAAATATGAAAGAATAAACTATGTGCTGAATGTGGTAAAACAATTTTATGATGATAACAATATTATGCTTTGGTGCAAAATTAATTGGTTACTGAAAAAATATACTGAAAAACTTGGTAATTATAAAAAAAAAAAAAATTATTCAAATTTTCATAATAAATGCATATTTTTAATGATAACACTGTAAAAGCTTTTCCGATTCATTCTCGTAGCATAAAACTTATTAAAACAACAGGTGAAAAACTTAATGGAACAACTTCAACACATGTGTGATAATTTAAAAGACAATAATGAAATTGCTATTGTAGAAAAATACGGTAACAACGCAAAACGTTATACAATTATACTTACAAGTAAGACATTATGTTTTTATTTCTGTAACACTTTGTATTTATAGTCAATTAACAAATTTATTATATTAAAATTATTTTAAGAACAAAATTATTTTGAGTTGTATAAAACGTCATATTAGTGCTTAAATTTAAATATTTTAAAAATACAAGTTTGTTACTGCATTATTTAATTAAATTAATTTGTAACATTGTTTAGTAATGGTCGGCATCGGACTGTCTACTATGATGATCGTTCATTTATGGCCGGCTTTCTTTCATTTTATTTTATCGGTAAACCAGTCTCGACCACGTCATTTACAGATTATGGCTGAATATTTTGTTGACCAGGAAAAATATTTCTATTTACTTTTATTCCACACAATCGCAGCTATCTCTATAGGAATATTTGCAGTGGTAGCCACAGGGACAATGCTTATTGCATTTTTACAACATGCCTGCGGAATGTTTAGAATTGCTAGGTAAAGTAAAAAAAAAACCTAAAAATTATAATAAAAAATAACTCTGTTTTTTATTTAATACAGTTCTAACAGTAGCATTTATCTTGCAAAAAACTTATTAAAAAAATAAAAAGTACATCACGTATGCAAAATATAAAGACTTGTCAAATTATTTTTAAATATAAATTACTTAAATGTGTTATCAAAATATAAGATCACTTTTTTCAAACAACAACGTAGAAACAATTTAGATAAGTGAGATGCTAAATTAATTCAACAAAGTATTAGCAACGATATGTTAATTGCATAATGTAATAATGATTTTTATACTAATGAATCTTTAAACAATAATGATAATATAAATCAGAGTTGCGCAAATCTAATGATGCTTGTGAATATTTAATAGCAACATTTTAAGCATTCTCTATGCTAATATAAAAAAATTGTAGCATTGAGTTTCATAAAAAAAAATTGCTGCTCGCATCAATGGCCGGCGGGCAAGTTAATTGTGCAGCTCTGAAATCTTAAAATATAATGCCTATTAAAAATACGGAAAAAGTTAACTTGTTCTTTAGCTGTTACCTACTATAACAAATGTTTCAATTTTACTGACCCCTAATGCAATCTGACTTCTAAAATTACTGTGTTAGCATCAACGTAACAAAGTTAAAATTGCATAATTTTAAAATTATTAATTATTTTGTAAATTTTTCATAGCTACCGCATCGAGCACATAATGGAAATTTATACTCTGAAAGACGTTAACCTGCTGAAACAAAATAAGGTTTATGAGGGCTTAATTTATGCCATAAATATTCATCGCGAGGCTATAATGTTGGTATTTAATCTATAATACGTATATACTATGCGCAATAACTGTTTCTTATTATTAAAGGTTCTGCAATTATTTTAATACCAAATTTGAGATAACGTTCTTATTTTTAATAGTATCCGGAGTAATTAGTTTAAGCCTCAATCTTTATCGTGTAAGTGTTATTTTTAATTTGTGAATATGTATTTAAAAATCGGTTGCATTGTATTTTTTAATATTGTTTTTTATTAACTCACTTGTGATCGCGATTCCACCAATAATAGCTCTAATCAATCAGCTCTATGTACTAATTTTTTGTCTTTATGTAAACCTTATAATTTTATAATTCTTTATAACGTTTATCGAAAACATGTAAGTTAGCAACTTAAAAAGAATTTTGTAAAACTGCATATTATTCATAAATTAAATTGTAAATTATATGCTAGATATATTTTTCAGATTGTAATATTCGACTATAGTATTGAGGAATTCCTAATGATTTTTGAAAACATAGTTATTACTTTGTCATACATGTTCTTGTCCAATTTTTTCGGACAGGACATTATAAATCACAATAATAACGTATATGTCACTGCGTAAGTGATATCTTCTAATTTAAACTTTATTTATTTATTTCATAAATTTCAATAACGCGCGAAAAAATAAACATTAATACATCTAATGTAGACAATGTATATACATATATTGTAAAAATTAATAATTTTTATTCTTCTTAAAAATTTTTATTCTCGAAAATTAATAAAACTCATTATATTCTCATAACGCTTAGGTACAAGGTACGATGGTACACAGCTCCTCTACATATACAAAAGTTAATACTATTTTTGTTGCAAAGAGGCAATAAAGCTTTTGGTCTGAATGTCGGTGGATTGTTTGTAGCATCTTTAGAATGTTTTTCCACGGTACTGAACATTTTATAGATCATAATATCATATGTTAAATATACCATAACTGACAAAAACAAAAATATAAAAAGATATATTTTACAGTTATTAAATGCATCCATGTCATATTTTACCCTTATGTATTCTGTGCAATAATGGCGGCGAAATATACAAAAATGACATTATTTTTTTGGAAAGCATACATAAACCAAAAAAACTATTTTATATTTAGGCGCCTTTTCTCTTCCTCGTGTTACTACCTTGTTATAAACCATTCTTTTGTTTTTGTACCTTTTTCCTAAGCGATAATAAAAGAAGCTTTCGGCT